AAAAAATTACAAAAAAAGGGAACTACAAAGTATTAAGAACTACAAAAGAAGTTGGTTTTGCAGATCTTTACCTCTGAACTACAATGATGTGCGCACCATGTCCTTCGTTCATTAGCCCTGGATGACCATTGAAGCCTTCCACTTTAAAATTTCAGATTAGCCCTTCGAATTCAGTCGCCGTCGTACCAGTTGAGCGGAGTGAAGCGGACGACGGTCGGATGGATTTCGTCGATTCAACTGTTGCGCGGGACGGCGGGTTTCGTGACTTGCGAACGGAGAACAGAGAGCGTTGTTGGGTTCTTGGGTTTCGTAGGTGTCAACTTCGACGGACGAACGGAGAAGAAGAGGGAGAAGGGTACGGATGAACGGAGAAGAAGAGGGAGTGGGTAGCGGTTTTTTTTGTGGGGTGACGGGAAAGAGAAGGGCGCATGGGAGGAGAAGGGGAGTGGGACGGGTTAGTTCAGAAGGAGGGTGGGGTGAGATAGTTAGAAAAAGGGTGGGGTGGGCTTTTTATGCTGTGTACACCGGTGTGTAACCGGGAGTGTACACAGCGACTTTTCCTTTATCAGTTTATGAGAAGTACAATAGCACATAATTTTGACTGCTCCACAAACCAGAATTACCAGACTAAGCACATGGCGATTTTGATTCTGTTTCTTTGCTTGTCATTATTGGGGGCACATGACCACCACTGCACTTTCATGTAACCTTTTTCCCTACCCAAATCTCTTTTAACTATTCCATTTTAATGTAGTTATAGATATCCACTGCTACTCGAGGGAGTTTTGGTATCATACGTAGGTATACATGTATATTTTTGGGTTTTCGGGCGGCTCTAGTAAGAAATAGGTAAACCCAATTCGTTATCCATAACATACATATTTTAGGGAGGAAAAATAAAGGATCTCTAAAGTTTTTTCCATGATGTAAATATGATCTAAAATGTTTTCACTTGAACTGATTTCATTATAAAATCCAACTAGACTAAAACAAACCAAACCAAATTTAAATAGCTAGACAATATCAGATCCGAAAATTTATTCTAAGTGAAAACATATGAGAGGGAAAATATGAATAACAAAACTAAAATAATCCAAATTCAACAAAAAACGGTGTACTTTGCAACACAAGGGGAAAAAAAAAAGCAAAAGACAAATTCCGTAGAGATGGAGTATTTCTTAAACTTGCATAAAAAATCGGCATAGATCACTTGATAGACTATGCTCATATCAATAAGTCTATGACTACATGACATATATACATTTTTGGAAAAAGGGTCAAATACACCCTTCTACAATGGCAAAAAGATCACTTAAACTCATGTACTTTAAAAACCATCATATAAACTCATATACTCTAAAAAAATAAGTCAATTAAGCCAAAATATCAAAAGGTTACCTGCAATAGGAGGTCATGCTTACATTTTCCCTCTCATTATTATTGTTATTTTATTTTTCTTTTGTGTTGCCTTAAATAATAGTCATAATACCGGGAAGCAGATTACCCACAATGAGGCATGTTAGATACAAACCAACTGAGCTACTTGTGTTTGCTAAATATATTACCTCCCCATGTATTAATAGTTTAACGCCTTACACTATTATTTCGTATTTAAAAGTTTACTACATTTTCCAATTTTTTTTGAAGATAAAGTCATGTTGTTTAAGAAGAACAATTGTTGGTAATAATAAAGCACGAAGTGGCCGGTGTGAAGGTAAGGTAAGTTATGTATTGCAGATGTGTATCCTCAAAATATCAATTAGATTATTCGAGAACCATGATACACAACATTTTCTAAATGCAGAGAGTGTAAATTAAAAACACCTAATATTCACAGAATCAGCGTAAAAACACAACATTAGAATATGAAAGAGATGATGAAAAAAGAACATCAACCTCTAGATATATATGTATTGTTATACTAGCGTTTGGTCGTGCAAGGCGCGACAATTTTTGCCCAATATTCAAACAATATTCTTTTCCCAAATAATTACTACTTCTGTCCCACTAACATTAGAAAATGAGATTGTGGTGCAATTATTAAAAAAAAGGAGTTTATGCGGTTGATACTAAATTGACAAACTAAAAACGATTTAGAACCACACAACTTTACCAAATTTGGTACTTCATCTGTCCCATTTAAAGGTTATCACTTTCCTCTTTTGGGCGTCTCACTTAAAGGTTATCAGTGTCTTTTTTAGAAAACAATTAACACTATTAAATGACAAATTAATCATCAAGTACTAAAAATAATACATTTATAAAATCACAGTTATCATCAATAACACATTACATTATATACTCATCAAAATTATTTCTCAAAATATACTTGAATTAACATATTTAATTATTGTCTAATAATCGTGTCATTTTTGCCACGAGAACCTTTAAATGGGACGGAGGTAGTATAAGACAATCTCAGTGGAACGAATCCAAAAGAAAATAGACAATCTAGCTTAGCGGGACGGAGGAATATTATATATGATATTGTTATGAATTTTTCTTAAATAGTGTATAAATCACAATGACAAAATCTCAAACTTAAAATTCTTTTATTTATTAAACTTTTTTTAACCGTAGCAAGGATTTAAACTAAAAAATCACAATGACTAAATTTCAAACTTAATATTCTTATTTACAATAATAAAAACTCGTCTACTCTAAAAAAAAATAAGTCAATTAAGCCAAAATATCAAAAGTTACCTGCAATAGGAGGTCATGCTCACATTTTCCCTCTCATTATTATTGTTATTTTATTTTTCTTTTGTGTTGCCTTAAATAATAGTCATAATACCGGGAAGCAGATTACCCGCAATCTGTCTGCTTTACTGATTTTTCATTAAAAAAAAAAAGGAAAATGGAAATTAATAATCCAACCTTTTAGCGGTCTTCTTTTAATAGTCCGACCTTTTCGTTATTCATGAATAATCCAACCTTTGAACCTCATCTTCATTCATTGGTCCCCGACCGGTTGATGACCTGCTATTCCGAGTTATTTTCTTATCTATGCAAACTATTATACCATAAATTCCACCTTTCACAAAGATAATATTTTGTTAGATACAAACCAACTGAGCTACTTGTGTTTGCTAAATATATTACCTCCCCATGTATTTATAGTTTAACTCCTTACACTATTATTTCGTATTTAAAAGTTTACTACATTTTCCAATTTTTAAGTTTTTCTTTAAATATACTTAATTACTCCTACTTAGGGATGGACCCGGGCCGGGCCGGTTCCGGTTCCGGGCCGGGCCCGGGCGGGCTTATTTTCCAATTACATGGGCCCGGAACCGGCCCTGGTTGATACCGGGTCCGGGCCTAACCGGGCCGGGCCCGGTTCAATGTTTTTTTTTTTTTTTTTTGCTTTCTTGTTATCCCCCGACTCCCCCCCCCCCCCTCACCCCCACCCCCCAAACCACCCCAAAACATCCAGCCCTACCCTAGGAAAAGAAAAAAATTGAAAAAAAAAAAAAAAAAAAAATTAACCGGGCCCGGCCTGAACCGCCCGGGCCGGTTCAACAAAAATAGGGCCCGAGCCCGGCCCGCCCGACCCGCCCACATGGGCTAAAAGCCCGGAACCGGCCAACCGGGCCCGGCCCGGTCCGGGCCCGCACAGTGGCGGGCCGGTTCGGCCCGGCCCAGTCCACCCCTGCTCCTACTTTTTATCTTTTCTTTTCTACTTTTCCACTTCCTCACTTACTTTTCTACACTATTCATTACCCAAACTATTTCTCCCTAAAATATTATGCCAATATCTAATATAGTGATTCTTTAAATACGGAGTAATAACAAGTTTTTTTTGCTAAAAAAAACTACGTGTATTTTAATTTTTTTATTGATGTTATTATAGGAGTACTATACTGATAAACTAACGAGTATTTGTGAAAAGATTCAAAACATTTAGGGATTGGGTTACTCGCATTAAAGCTATTTTCTCTTTAATCTAATATATAATGAACTATAATTTACATTTATTTTTCATGAAATATTGGCCGGTTTTTTTGGCGTTAACAAGGTTGACCCATGACCAAATAATGCTATCATTATTGATCCATGTGTTTAGTTAGTATTATACGGTTTGTGAATAGTACAATAATATGTACATTTGTGTATAATATGATACAAATACGGCTAAATATATGTTTCATCATTCATGGAATGAATAAAGACACGGCATGTTTTAAACGTTTCAAAATTAAAAAATAAAGCATATATAATACATGTCTTATATACTAATTTAATGATAGAAATAAACAATAATTTAACGTATGCACCACATTCTTCAACAAATTAAAATGCACAAAATAATTATTTCAGGTATACAAATTTGAATTCATAAGTACAATAAGTATTAAAAATGACATTTAGTGAAGAATAAACATAATATATAGCTAATTATATATTACATTAAATTTATATGGTAAAAAGTTACCCTAACTCAAAATTTAATAATTTTTACAAGAATATGAAGAAAAGAGCCAAAACATATAGTTTTCAATAAATTCAAAATTAGAATTGGATAGATAATATGTAGTATGTGAAAATAATATTTATATATTGAAATTATAAATAATAATGATAGATTTTTTGAATCTTCACAAATATTCCGTAATTTATTACGTAGTAGTATAATACACCTATAATGACATCAATAAAAATACTCGTAGTCATTATTGTAATCACAAATTTATTTATACTTAAAAATATGTAACAAAGTATAGATATAGGTGGAGGTAAGTTTTTCAACGGCAAGCAGGTAGCGGTGATGGTTGGTGTTTAGCATGCATTAGTCGTTGGTCAAGAGTTCGATTCCCTCTAGGTCCAATTTTTTTTAATGAAAATTGGGTAAGCAGGCAGATTTGGGGTTGGGCATACGTGGCCTATAATCTGGTACTCAGTATTATCTAAGGCAATCCAAAAGAAAAATAAAACAATAATAATAGTGAGAGAGAAAATGTGAGGATGACCTCCTATTGCAGGTAATCTATTGATATTTTGGCTTGTTTGACTTATTTTTTTTAGAGTAGATGAGTTTATATGATGCTTTTTAAAGTACATGGGTTTAGGTGATCTTTTAGCAATTGTAGAAGGGTTTATTTGACCCTTTTTCCTACATTTTTTGTGTGCATTTATATGTGACTCATTTATTGAGTGTTGAAAAGTTATCTTACTTTTAAACACTTGATAAATGAGTGTCCTACAAAAATGTACACAACTCATGTTTCCCTATTCTACACTCTTTATCCTATACAGCATTACAGGCTTACAGCCGACACGCACTAGACATTGCTCCCCCCACTGCAACTTATCGTGCTATAACCAAATACCCAATTACAGTTCTCAAGGAAAAAAATGAATAAATAATACACACTTTTGGGGGGCGTTTGGTACTATATCTACGAGAATTACTCTCATCAGAATCACTTTCACGGAATCTGGTATCACCTCCCCATGAGAATCATTTTCCTTCTCATAAGAGAAAAATTATTTCATTTGACTTTTCACTCTGGACAAATGAGATACCAAACAATAGAATACTTTTCCTGCCAATTACTTTCCATGGAAATGATGGAAAGTATTGACTTTTCCTCATACCAAATGCCTCCTATACTCCTAGAGGCAGCATTATCTCACATCCTTCCATCCCAGTTCAAACAATTACAGCAAATCTGCAAATAAATTTTAAGATCTCTGACAAATATTCAACTTCCCGCGAAGTAAAATATAATAAAATAAAATAAGAGCCAAATAAGACCTTTAATTAGTGGGAAATTTCACAGTTGGAACAATTAACTCACACAGATACGTATAATCACTCTTTGTGTCCTTCAAACATTGTGGAATTCTTTAATTCACTAAGTGCCAAAAATCCCTTTGAGAAAGGTTTTGGATAGTAACCAAACCAGTGGTACACCCTTCAGCTAGAAGCTTACAGGAAGAAATAAAAGGAATATAAAATCAAAACCAAACATTCCCAGTATGTCCCATTCTGAGGAAAAATTCACCATTACTATTTTATCCACTTCAGCTGAAAAATAAATTTAGGAACTCCAATTGTACTAAACAATAGAGAAATATGAGCATTGTTCTTAAATCGGGCTAGGCAGCGGTCAACCACCCTGATTTCGTCCTAGTTGGTAAATAATTTGGCGGGGGCCTATGCAGCCCGATGGACCGCTTCATTTTCAATCCAACTTATTGTTCACGCAGTCTAAATAAAATCATTTGACCATTCACTATTTTATTTCTATTAGATTTCATTTTAGTATTTTTACAATAGAAGCGCAACTTTTCAGTGTATATGAAGTATCTGAATGACTAAAAAATAAGAACATTTTATTTTAACATGCTTTTCTAAAAATATATTCTCATTAATTAATGTTATTAAAAAGAAAGAGAGGAAGACCTAGGCACCTGCTTATATGGGCTCCGCACAAGGCGGTCTGCCGCCCCCTAAGAAGCGCCAATTGCCTTTTAGAACATTGGTGTGATCTAAGTGGTAGCAAACAAATAAGTTAAAGGAATGCAAATTTCCTACAGTCCAAACTCTGAAGTGACAAAAGCATTCTTTAGTTCAGCAAACTATACTATTGTTATCCCGGTAAGTGAAAATAGCTTACCACACTTTGCTACTGGATTGTGTAAGGATATATTTTTCCACATATAGCTTTCGGGCATCTTGTTTCTTCAATCTTCACTACCGAGATACCTGGACGTGTAGGCAGTAGGGAGAAGTAATCAACAGAAAAGAAGAACAACAACAACATTACCCCAGTGCCGCAAAGGCTCCCACCTAAAGTGGGGTAGGGGGTTGAATATGCGCAGCCTTACCTCTGTATTGAAGTACAGAGAGACTGTTTCCAAATGACCCGTGATGAAAATCGCGTCGAATATTGCATGGAATTACTGCTACTTCAAAACTGTGTTTCTGTATATATTTGGACAACGTGAATTTGGAATTAGTTATCAGATAAATAAATCAAAACAAAGCAAACTATATTCTTTATTGCACCAAAATAAGTACTCTGAAAAAGTATAACTTATTGCACCACAATAAAGAGTATTTTTAAACCTAAGGTAGCCTGAGCCTAACAACAAGTATGGAGTCGACAAAAAACATAGATGTTTATACACACTGTTAATAAAATTAGTTTGATCCGACTGGCTTGTGAATAAGTTGGTCTATTCCAAGTAGGAACATCATGGTGAATAAGTTGATCTCTACCAACTGAATTGAAGTTTTATTTGCACAATATTCATAAAAATAGTTTTAGCCAATTGACTTGTGATGTGTGAATAAGTTGGTCTCTTCTAAATGAAATATGATGGTGGAAAGGCATCATATTTGTGCTGATCTGTTCAGAAAATCTACGTCTTGTACAAAAGAGTTAGACCACTGAGAAGGCGAGGAGACATCAAAATTCTTCTGAAGTTACAAATTGCTGGGGTACCACAAACTGAAGTGTGAGCTGGCCAGTTTTTCTTACCCACGGGTTTCCATCAGCATGACACTTCAGACAACTTGATAACCACCTTTGTATTCCTTCTTGACAGAATAACTGGTAGCCTGTTTACAGATAGCTCAGCACATCAACACTGAATATGCTGTAATATTACAATAGTTGGTTTATTACTTAGATATTTGTTTCTTTATATGCTTTTCTAGCCTCAATTAGGAGATTCAAATCAACTAGGAGATTTTGTAAAGGGCTACCAAACATAATAAATTGTTGTATTTTAATTTCAGTGGGTATCAGAGTGTCTTGATTCTGTGGGCTCTGCTTCTGCCCTCCGCAGTAAAAAAACACCTAGCCAATATTACTACAGTACCTTTTTCCTGCCTCGTGGTCAAGTTGCTTTGCCGAATCCAATGTTCCCTCCTGACACCAGTACACCACTTTTATCGCTCTGGGTTCACGCCCAGCCTCCATCACTGGAAACTTCCACAGTCATGGTCATTTTTTTCCCTGTGTCACTTCGACAATCCCTAGAAAGGAAAGGTTTTAGACTGAGTCAAGGGAAGACTGAGTATATAGATTGCAAGTTTAGTTGTGATAGAAACAATGGAAATAGTCGGATTACCTTGGATGCTAAAGAGATCCCAATCAGTAACATGTTATGTTACCTGGGCTCCAAAATTCAGAAGGACGGTGAATTAGATGAAGGTGCATCTCATAGAACCAAAACAAGGTGGGTGAAATGGAAGAGTGTGTCAGGATTTATATGTGTCCGAGTTATGCCAACTAAACAAAAGGGTTTGTTTTATCGAACAACAACTGAACTTGCATTATTATATGGCGTAGAGTGTTGGGTGGTGAAAGTTGTGAAACAATGTCACATTCAAAAAATGAATGTGACAGGTGCTTATGTTGTGTTGGATGTGTGGACATTTTAGAAAAGACCATTTGCGAAAACAATTAGGCAAAAAGCGGAAGTGGAAGTTACACCTATTGAAGATAAGATGCAAGAGTCTTGATTGAAGTGGTTTGACAATGATGCACATGTTAGATGAATTGAGGGGTGGGGAGGGGAGGCAAGAAGTAGTGGGAGGGGACGACCTAGACAGACGTGGATTAGAGTGGTGAAGAATGATATGGTACTTCTTGGGTTAGATGAGAGTATGAATTTTGAGAGAGTGGAGTGGAGGGAGAGTATACATTTGGATGATTGGTCTGGTCTTGTTTGTCTTCCTTTCTGTCTATTTGTTAAAATTTGACCACGTTTGACCGGCACGGAAATTAATAAAGTAGAAACTGTGTGGTTTAGATTTGTGCAGAGGAGAGAGAACTAAAATCACAAATTCTTTACTTAAAAGGAAAAGTGACAAAGTTAGTGGGACAATCAAAAAAGGAAAGTTGTCAAAGGGTTAAGGGACGGAAGGAGTATTATTTATTTTATTTATTGTTTTTAATTTCGATGTCATATGTTGTCTCATGTTAGCCGACCTTAAACTCTTTTGGGGTTAAAGCTTGGATGTTGTTGTGTCACTTCGACGTTTCACCCACAATGATCTCTAAATATTGCAAGGATCATATCAGTTAAATAGGACGAAACTTCCACTAGTAGCCTAGTAGAGTAGTAGGCCCAGCTTATGTGTGCCACACTTAGAGGACGCAAGAGGATTAGTCGCATGAAAGGAAAATTTCATGCTGAGACAGTTCCACAATATGATGCATCATGCATGAGTTCACAAGGATTATCCCATTATGACATGGCTTTGGCACTCAGTGACTAGAGATCAGCTGAAAGTATTTATTTTTCCCTACTTCTAAGTGCTAAGGAGATCTAAAAGAATCTGGTACAGATGTACTTTATGAAGCATGACCTCCCAGCATGTAACGAATTGGAAAATGATGTTTTTAACTCTAACCAAGAAACTCTCACCGTGACTTATAATTTTGGTACTTCGAATGGCCTATGGAATGAATTGGATCAAAACTTTACTATGCTGAAAATGCCAAACTAAACTCCTTGGTTAGTCTATGTAGATTGTAAACGACATGATCATTACAGGAAATGATGAACTTGAAAATTAGAACATGATAAACGAGTTAGCAGCCAAGTTTGGAATGAAGGACCTCGGAAAGTTTAAATATTTCCTCGGTAACTAACTAATCGGTATGGAAGTGGTATACTCAAGACAATGCATTTGCACTTTGCAAAGAAAATATGTCCTTGATCTTCTCAAAGAGACTGGTAAGTTGGGTTCCTAAGTCACTGGAGTGACTATAGAGCTAGCATCTTACTTGCAAGAAGGGAGTGATAGATATTCAATTACCAACTTAAGGGGGAGTATTGTAATATTAGAATATTGGATTTATTATTACGAGGTTTCTAATGATATTTGATTCCCTAGTATCAATTAGGACATTTGTATCAATTAGTAGATTGTTTACGTGTTTACTTAATTGTTAAATCATGTTAGTCCATGCCTAAAGAAAACTGCCAGTCCCTTATTAAAAGTAGCCGTATCCCTATCATAGAATAAAACAAAATGACTCACTAAACTGTCAGTCCCTTCATTGTTATGAACGAGCAGTCAGTCCATGCAATTTTTGACTCGATTTTCATCGCGAGTCATCCAGAAACTGTCTCTCTTGCTTTAGTACAAGGGTAAGGTTGCAAACTTCCAACCGGTTACAAATAATTTTGTTAATGATTCGGTTCTTATGCAGTTTGGGACTAAGGCTTGTATGTTGTTGTATACGGTTTTTAGCCCCATCCATGGCCCACAGTTTCTGTATAGCAGGAAAAAATAGTGGAAGCAGGTCACTTTCATTTATTAAATGCCAAAAAATGATCACCATTAGTGCCTTAATTCCAACCATATGACTGTGGTGAAATGAAATTTATTGCGTCAACTAATTGTCTAACATCAGTTAACAACTTAACACTATTAATTCATGTAACAAATCAGTGACAAAGCTTTGTGCTGGATGTCCTGCATATTGCATCCCTCTTCAAATCTTTCATCCTTATATGTTATTTCCACTTTCATGCAAGATTTCCATAAAAATAAAAATAAGACATGCAAATTATCATCATTGCCTGAATTAGGTTAGTCTAGGCCTATAAAAGTAATCATATGTTGTATATTGATTTCAAGCAATAAATTTTATTTTTCAGCTTGATATTTCCAACTGTCGACAATTAATTTTCTTATAGGTGCAGCTTTTAGCCTCATCCATGGCCCATAAATCCTGTATAACCTCATCCATGGTCTACATATACCATTAATTCCACTTTCAACCAAAACCTTTACAACAACAACATTACCCCAGTGCCAGAAAGGCTCTCATGAGCGGTGAGGTAAGGGGAGTCGGATGTACGCAACCTTACCCTTGTACTAAAGCAAGAGAGACAGTTTCTGGATGACTCACGATGAAAATCGAATCAAAAATTGCCATGGGCCGACTGCTCGTTCATAACAATGAAGGGGCTGACAGTTTAGTGAGTCATTTTGCTTTATTCCATTATAGGGATACGGCTACTTTTAATAAGGAGGATAAATACTTGGCCGGGTCTATTCTAGAAGGAGTAAATAGAATAGTTAGTTGATAGTTAAATTCTGTTATGGGCTATTAACTACCTTTCGATTAAGCTGGGAAGTTATAAATAGAATAAGTTTGGGAAAGGACAGGTAGGTTGTTAGACAGTTGAGTTGGGACTGGGAAGATTAGAGCTCATTTTCTTTTTGTTTATACTATTACATACCTGCGATAGTTCTATCAGTGTATCAGAGAACTACATTCAGGGTTGTGAGGTTTGCCAGAGAAATAAGTATCAAGCCCTAAAACTTGTCGGCCTGTTACACCCTTTACTTATACCTAACCAAGGTTTTGAAAGGCGAAATCGAGCCCCGAGGCGTTCGGTGGTAGCCTCACGAGGCGTAAGCCTGAGGCGTAACGAGGCGTAAGCCTCAAAATTAATAGTCTAAAAGCGTACAACATATCAGATAGTATAAATAATTCATAACAATAACACAAATAAACAAAATCACAAGTAAAAAGAACATAACAATAAAATATCCAAGTCAAAATAACATAAAAATGAAATATTAAAAAAACGCTAAAATTCCATGACAAGAAAACAAATAATTGATAATCAACTTTAATAAATAAAGAAATAAAACCAAACTGTAATGAACGTAACTACTCCCTCCGAATTAATATGTTCCCTACATTTGCATTTGGCACAATATTTTAGGATAGAATAGTAAGGGTAGTGAATAGTGTAGAAAAAGTAGGAGAGTGGGTGTAAAAGTACGAAAGAGAAGATAAAAAATAGATAAAGTAAGGGTAGTTGAGTATTTTATAAAGGATAAACTTACCAAAAATGGAAGTGTAGGGAACTTATAAATACATCCCAAAAAGGAAAGTGTAGGGAACTTTTAAATACGGAGGGAGTATAATATTTCCAATTAAAATGTAAATCTTAAGTCAAGTAAACTAGTAAAGTATGTAGTATCAAGCAAATAAATTATTAAGAGTTTTACATGATAACTTTACGGATTAAACAGTAGGCTTAATAAATACATTAATAACGTTAAATAGCTTTAAATAGTTCAAAATAAAACCTTTAAATAACTAAAAAGTTAAATAGAAAAAGTTAAATAATAAACACAATAAGAATTATAGAAGTTGGGCGGTGGGATATTTTATAATTGCTTGGACGAACCGGCGAAGCAGCTCCTGAAGTCTCTATACCGAGCTTCAACTGAGACTGTGAGACACCAGGCTGATCGAGCAGCTCTTCTTCAAGTCGTTGTTTCTAATTTTTTAATATCGTAGTCTCGTAGAAGAGTCAAAGACCTGCGATTGGAACTTGGAAGACCTAAGGCTGTGGCTAAGTAATAAAAGATCCAGGTATTCTATATTTTAGGAGAGAAAAATTGAGGCCCCCAATATTTTTTTTAAAAAGACCCAACCTTGCGAAAAAATTAGAGGCGAACGCCTCGTGTACGCCTTGTGCCCCACAGTCCGCATCAACGCCTCAACAAATTGAAGGCGTAAACCTTGTTAGCAGAAGGTAAAGCTTAAGCCTTTCAGGCGATTACCGACCGCCTTTGCGCCTTTGCACCTCAGGTGCGTAAAGGCTAAACGCCTTTTAAAACCATGTACCTAACCATATTTGGGCTGACATAAGTATGGATTTTATAGGTGGGCTACCTAAATCTCAGGGAAAAGATACTGTTCTGGTGGTAGTTGATAGACTAACTAAATTTGCACATTTCTTGCCCTTATCTCACCCTTTTAATGCTTAGGGAGTTGATGAGCTATTTATTCAAGAAGTGGTGAAGATACATGGATTCCCTAAGTCAATTGTGAGTGACAGGGATAGCATCTTTCTATGTTTTTTCATGTCTGAGCTGTTTAAATTGGCAGTCATTCAACTCAGGTATAGCACTGCATATCATCCTCAGAGTGATGGGCAAACAGAGGTTGTCAACAGGTGTTTGGAAACATACTTGAGATGTCTGACTTGCAGGAAACCTAAACAGTGGGTGAAATGGTTACCCTGGGCAGAATTTTGGTACATCACCAATTATCACATATCCCTAAAAAACATTATATCAAGCATTGTTTGGACAAGAGCCTCCTACCATATTCAGAGGGGATGTCAGCTTAACTGCAGTGGCTGAAGTATCCAGATTATCAGCTGAAAGGAATGAGATACTAAAGGAGTTGAAGGAAAACCTGGCTAAGGCTCGGAATTTGATGAAACAGCAAGCTGACAAGCACAAAAGAGAAGTGGAAATGGAGGTTGGTGACAGGGTGTTCTTGAGGATACAACCTTATAAAATGAAGAGCTTGGCTAAGAGCATAAATCAGAACCTAACTCCCAGATTCTATGGTCCATATGAGATTACAGAGAAGTTAAATCATGTGGCCTTTAAACTAAATTACCAGTGGATAGTAAAATACAACTTGTATTTCACATATCTCTACTGAAAAAAGGTGTTGAAACCTACATCTACCTATCAAGAGTGATACCAGAAGAGGTGAAGGATATCAGATTTAATCGTGAAAGGGAAAATGAAGTCATGGTGCATTGGAAGGACCTTCCTAATTTTGAAGATTCATGGGAGACTGAAAAAGTGATCCAAGAACAATTCCTAGAATTCCAAATTGAGGACAAGTTGAATTTTCAGAGGGAGAGTATTGATAGGGATACGACTACTTTTAATAAGGAGGATAAAAACTTTGGTCGGGTTTATTCTAGAAAGAGTAAATAGAATACTTAGTTGATAGTTAAATTCTGTTATTAGCTATTAACTACTTTTTGATTGAGCTGGGAAGTTATAAATAGAATAAGTCTGGGAAAGGACGGGTAGACTGTTAGACACTTGAGCTGGGACTGGGAAGATTAGACATATTTTTCTCTTCTCTTTGGGACTTGTTGTACTGGCTTACAACCATTAATGAAGTTGGAGATTGTTTCTTGAGCTCATTTTCTTGTTTATACTATTACATACCTGCGATAGTTCTATCATTCCATCATATTCCCAAGCCAAAAATAGTGAATCTTTGGCTCCATTGGAAATGATGGAAATCAAACAAAATCTTTGTTGGCGTTATCATCATTACCTCAGTGCCGCAAAGGCTCCCATCTATGATGGGGTAGAGGGGTCTGATGTACGCAGCCTTACCTTTGTACTAAAGCAGAGAGAGATTGTTTCTGGATGACCCATAGTGAAAATCACGTTGAAAATTGCATGGACTGACTGTTGCTTCATGACAAAGAAGCGCAAACAGTTTAGTGAGCCATTTTGCTTTATCTCATCATATTCTCAAGCCAAAAATAGTGAGTCTTTGGCTCCATTGTAAATGATGGAAATAAGCAAGACATTTGTAAAAAAAAAAAATATCACCATCATCACCTTAATGCCAAGTCCCAACTATGTAAGTACGTAGGGCCGTAGGGGTTAGCGATATGAAATCTATATTGTCAATTAATTATTCAAAATTAGCTAACCTTACAAATTCATGCAAACCGTCTCGTATTGTGTACATGTTGCTCCCCCCATGCTAATAAACAACAAATGTAATAGAATAGCAGTCAAATTGTCTTCCTAAAAAAAGGCACCGTCAAAGGTTCAAAGCTTTTAACTTTTAAGATCAAGCTAAATAATGATGCCTAGAGTGCGTGTACGGCATATCAAATGACAAATACCAAATTCATGTAACAGACCATTCCTACATGGATTGGTGCTCAATAGAAACTTGAGAAGAGAACTAACTAAAATTTGGGACTGTGGAAAGAGCTCATTATAAAGTAATGATTTTGATAAAATGTTGATATACCATCTTTCTAAACCCATTGTCCTATTAGCCTTTTAATTTTAATTTCTAACTTAACTTCTTCAGTACCCTATATTGATTGAGTTTTCTGCACGCCAATGCAGTAATGCCAATGTTTCAAATACAAATGTTCAACTATAAAACCAACCTGTGAGAAGAAGCTACATGGTAGTAAATTCGACCAAGTCCAGGGATGTCCCACCTCTAGCTATTGTTCGTTCCATCATGCATACTGAACCATGCCAAGACCGCATTGTAGAAGAAGAGTCTTTCATAATCTTCCCGGAAAAAAAGTGTGCAACCAAGGGTATTATTAACTATTATAAGCGGCTATGGGGACTTCAATATTGTTCCTATACGGAACAGTTCCTGATGCATAGTTCTTTACTCTATATGCTTCCTTAGCCATACCAGCTTTCAAAAGGATAGATGTGAAACAGCTTATAGTCAATTTATCCGGGGTACAGCCCAATGCAACCATCTTATTAAAAATATTAACTGCATCAGCCATTCTCCCTTTCATGCAATGCCCAAGAATGAGAATCGTAAAAGTGATCTTGTCATGACAGCATCCTCTAACCTCCATATCTGCGGCAATGGCATTGGCTTGTTCTAAATTTCCAGCCTTACAAAGCCCATCAACTACCGGGTTGTATATGAATGGCTGGGGCACAATATCAGCTCTACATTTTAATTTCTTTAAAAACTCGCTGGCTTCAGTAATTCTGTTTTTCTTACACAATGCATGGATGACAATGGAAAACGTGTATGTGTTTGGAAAAAGCTTTCTTTCTTTCATTTGATCAAAGAGCTTCAAACCAAGATCTAAATCACCAGATTGACAATGTCCATTGATGAGAGAAGTGAAGGTGATGACATCAGGAAGACATCCAACAAGACTCATCCTCTCAAGAATCTTTAAAGCGGAAACCATATCTCCAATCTTGCCAAACCCGTTTATTAAAATATTGAAAGTAACCAAGGTTGGTCGAATCCCAAAAGAAATCATTTCTTCCATTAGATTGACCGCCTCAACCATTCGACCCAACTTGCAGTAACCTGAAATAACAGATGTATATGTCACAGCATCTGGGGAGAATCGATCAAGTAAATGTATTTCTCTCAATAAACTTTGAGCTTTATCTACATCACCGGCACTGCAAAATCCATTTATGAGAGTGTTATATGTAACAAGATCGGGAAGACAGCCAAAATTCTCCATGCCAGTTAAAAATGGAAAAGCTCTGTCAACCTTTCCAGACACGCACAACCCTCGGATGACAATGTTAAATGTGAAAGTATCCAAACAAAAATTCTTAGACCTCAAAATATAATCTATAAAGAAACTAACAGCCTCCTCCACCCTCTTTTTCTTCATCAACAAACTCAAAAACTTACTGTGCAGAAAATGGCAAATATTTCCACATTTCTCATTACTCGCATGAGATTCGGAAATCAAAATCTCCTTGGCAACCTCAATGCTGCCTGCATTTGCAAGTGTCAATACTACAAATTCTACAATTGACCTGTCTGGGAAATACCCATCCATTCTCATGTGATTAAACAATAACTTAACTGTATGATGGAGACCTATTTCGCAGTGAGACATAAGCAGCAATCGGAAGCTAGAAACTGAATGGACAATATTCAAATTGAGTCTCGCGAATTGGAAGAAGCTAAATGCCAACGTGGGGTTATTCAATTTACCACTAATGTGTTCGATTACGTCAAAAGCAATCAGCGAATTCAGATTTTGACGGAAATAATCACAGCCCAAGACATCAAGACTAGATGAATGGCGAACGCAAAGTATGCAAATCGCTTTGGCGAACCAAACCGTCTCAGCTCCTTCGAGGGGGGCATGAAAAGGATGGTGAGGTTCGCTGTGAGCAGGAGCGTAGAAGTTGCGAGAAATGGGGGCAAACTTCAATGCACGATGAACCTGAAATCGCATTCTTTCCGAAGCACGCTGTTCTAAACCCAACTTGTAAGTATAACCAGTGATCTTGGTCATGCCATTTTCGTTTAATTTTCTGAATACTGATGGTATGTGAAGGATGAAAGAATCTACAAACGCACGGGTTCGGGGGGCAGGACACTGAGCTTGGTGAGGGAGAATGGTAATGGAGGATGAGGACAGCTTTGGAGATTCTCCGACACCTAGGGCTGGCGGCCAATCCGGACGTCAACACTACACACTTTTTCACTCCAGAGACGGCCGTCGTTAACTTCCAACAACCCTCGTAGGATGCGATGCAGGTTTGCAGGGTCTGTGAGTCTATACTTGGTACAACGTATTAATTCAAAAAGGAGTTTAAATACAAGGGAAAAAGTACAAAATCAACCCTAAAACTAATACAGATATTCACCCCTAAAAAAAAAAAAAAAAAAAACTCTAATTAAACCCTTCAAGTTGGGGTAAAGTGTAAATCACCTCTTCAACTAAAAAACTGCAATAAAAAATTCTCTAACTTGGCGATATAGCACAAATAACTTTCCTAAGTTGTAATTTACCGATTAAGATTCATTTATTAACTTCAATATATCTCACTTAAACTTTTTATTAACTGTTTATAAGATTCATAAGATTCATTTATTAACTTCAATATATCTCACTTAAACCTTTTATTAACTGCTTATAGAACAAGGTTGAACACACAATCTCTGAAGACGCTTAAGTGTTTCCACTATTGGCTGAAGACTCATCAACAAACTCAAGAACTAAACCTAACACTGTCTTGCCACTTCCTGAAGAAAATGTAGACTAGGAGATCCATGTAGACCTTCTTTATTGTTGCTTAAATATTTTTTGTGATTGTACAAGTCAATTCAGTGCTCAAATAAATTTACATTTCATTTTTAATGTGTATAGTTTGTTGTTTGTATAAAGTGGATAAATGAATCTTATGTGGACAATTTTTTAATAAATGGCATGCATCAGCTTTAACCAATAAATTACAAATTAGGAAAGCAATTTACACTATATTGTCGAGTTGGAGCTTTTGATTGCGGTTTTTTTAGTTGAATGGGTGATTTGCACTTTATCACATACTTGGAGGTTTTCATTGAAGCGTTTTTTAGTTTAGATGGTGATTTACACTATCAGTGTTAGTTTGAGAGCTGATTTAGTACTTTTCCCTAAATATAACGCAAGCACAATTTGATAGGCGTGTAAAATGTTGTGTACAAATGACGTGTACAAATAACATTAGTGTTTAAATATAGTTACAATATGAAATTATTTTTTGCTTTTTATCTCTGAAATTTAAGTTGGTTTTTTAGTTCATTATTAATGATAACAATCCCGACTAATAGGGTTCTTCTAATTCTTTTTAATTTTTTGAATGGTTTTTAATACATATTCCTAAACTATGAATAATTTTTTTACATTATTTTGACTCTCATATTTGCCTCAAAAAACTCTTAAGATAATTAAAAAAAATTAGTGAAATTATGTAACTGGCAATATTTTCTTTCTTCTAAATGGAGTGATTTCAAGTTAGCGATGGACTAAAAACAAAAAAAAGCATATTACTTGGATGGGAAAAAACAAAAAACAGGAAAAAATTACAGGGACCCAATCAAAGTGTGTCGTATTTGCAGGAATTACAATGTATTCTAACCTTTAAAAAAATGTATATGAATGTCACGAAAAATTGTTAGGTGTACACAAAATGTGTACACCTTTGACGCACCAATAAAAAGCTTCAATCTTAACATCTTTTATCCCCCAGCCTTCTCTCCACTCTACTTCTATCCTCTGTGTCTTGAGCCACGTTTCCCTCCTTGTCTTTTTTTCGGAGTTTGGAGCTACAGTGCAGCAAGAAGATAGGTTATCATCTTAATTGGAAATATGATATTTTAATATTGTAATAATTTAGTATTAGATTATACTATATATTTACGTATGCTACATTATTGGGTTTATATATGCGTGGCCCATGCAATAGTAGCCCTATTCCCACCTTGTATTATATAATACACATACGGATGGTATGTGGAATAATAAGAGAGAAGAGTTATTTTCTCATTTTGATTTGTTCATACTCATGCTCCCAGTGAGCCTTATTTCTCCAACCTAAATTAATATCAATTTTATCATCCATCCTTCCATCTTCTTGAATGGAGTTCAGCGGGAAGGATACATGCGAGTTTAGGGAATGAGTTAATTTTTTATAGCTTGACATGGGGAGAGTAGGTGATGAAGGTGCACACTCATGTGCCGGGAGCTATTGAATGGATTGGAGTTCAAATGAAGTTGTTGAAGGTTTGGATGAAGGTGAAGGCGACAAAGCCTTGGATGACGTTGGTAAGTCTTCATTATATGATTAATAAGTTCGTATTTTGACACGCATTTGATGCATGTTGGGATCGGATTTTGATGGTTTCCTTAGCTTTAAGGTGTCACGAGTCTCAATTTTACCTCAAGTTATGTTTACCAGGCGCTGATTCGAGTTTTGGTATTTTTGGAGTCAAAATCAGGGAATTTGAGCCCGACACCGGTGCTTGAGAAGAAATTGGGACGAGTCCAGATGAATTCGAGAGAGAATTGAGAGCTTTGGATGTCACCGGGAGGTTTACGATGAAGATTTGATGACAAAAGGGCTCTAGAATTGGCTACGGGATAAAAAAAACAAAAAAAAAGACGCATGGAGCTTGAAAACGGCGATCAGGGTGACGTTTTGTCAATAGTTCAAGCATATCGTTTTGTAGCGACATCCAAAGAACGTGATTCAAGTTCCATATGAAATCTAACTTCAAGGGCTACAAATCATATGAAGACACCATTGCGGGATTTTTATAGGAGCAAGGTGAAAACAGACGGGGGAGTCAGAATTGCTATTGAGATTTCAGAATGCGACATTCCACCATTGTATTCATATCTTTTTATTGAATGATTCAAATAGAGTTTTTCAAGTTGTGGCGGATAGCGGACTTCATTATCTACAACCTTTATGAAGGAAGCATCGTCAAATTCGGAAAGAAAGAAGGCACGCTGTGCACCCGAAGTCAGGCGGGGCTGAAGGAAACAACGTGGAGCTACTGCCAGTCAGGCATGGTCGTGCCTGCCATGATAATTGATTCTGGAGCTACTGAGCATATCACTTGTAGTGATACTAATCTTTTTAATATCGTCAATCATGTGTCATCAGTCACAATTCCTAACGGTGAATCCATTCAGGTTCATGCTGTCGGAAGTTTATACTTACTCAATGGGCTCCGTCTTGAACGTGTTCTATATATTTCAAAATTCCAGTGCAACTTACTCTCAGCTAGTCGCTTAACAAGTGATCTGAATTGCACACTGACATTTTTTTCGGACTTTTGTATTTTGCAAGACGTACCATCGAGGAAGCTAATTGGCGTGGGTAAATTCCGTGGTGGTCTTTATTACTTGGAGTCTCCAAAAAGTGAAAGGATGGCAATGTCTGTGTCTGTTAGTTCTGATATATGGCATCAACGGTTGGGACATGCATCTGATGGAAAATTAAATCATATTAATTCTCTCAAGGGTTTTCGACGGAGTGATAATTTTTGTGATCCATGCATCCGTGCTAAGCAGACCAGACTACCATTCCCTACCAGCTCCATTAAGACAACTCGCTGCTTTGAATTGATACATTGTGACATATGGGGAGGCTATAGATGTGACTCAACCTCTGGAGCACGGTATTGAAACGGCAGCCGCATAAAACCGTCAAAATATACCTCGGGAACTGGCGGAATACCATCCGATACATACCCGAACAGCATTCGGGCAATAATCTTCTACTTCCTTATGCACTCACTACCGTTCGAGACATAGGAAGTGGGGGACTAGTGTTAGGATATTGGGTCCGGGCCCAATATCCCCGGCCCAAAGTATGGGAAACCAGGAGGAAACAGAAGGCCCAGAGCAGTCCAGACCCGTTCGGCGTTCGGCACATTACCTACACTTAGAACATTTCGGGTAATAACTATACCCGCATTCTTGACAGGGTGCCGCACACTGATCGGCGTTCGGGGTATTAACTATCAAGATAAACAATAACGGGATATTCCAATATCGAACACCCTACCCGAACGGGTAGTCAGCAAATGGAGGCTGCATTTAATGCTGAAACATGGCAGCAGCAAGTGGAGGCATGGGCTGAAACATGGCAGCAGCAAGTGGAGGCATGGGTGCATATGTGGCGGGGGGCATAACCTACCATATTCAGCCACGTGTCCAGCTTTCTCATCCCCATTTTAGTATAAATACCTGCATTGAATACATTGTAAAGGGTTAGCATTTTAATACTCAGAGCTTAGCAAGTTGAAACACTTCTCTTATTCTTGTATTCTGGTACTTACCTACCGTTCGGGTAATCTCGGTGTAATCACGGAATTATTGAATACAAGTGGGCTCCTGAGTTGGATAATATCTCACTGTTTTATATTTTCTATATTCTTTAAACCAACCCAACATCCCTACAATATCCAAAGCTTGTGTTGGGCTTTCGGATCTTCGGGAATAAACTTCAACAATAAGTATTATTATTACTAGTGTTGGTATTACTTCTCCTCCTATCCTTGTTGTTATTACTCCTATCATCATAGTTGCACATGATGCTCGTGGGAGGTTTCTTGGAGGTAGAAGACGGAGATGGTTAGGAGATATTCCAGCGAGCAATACCAAAAGCTTGGCTATTTACCAGGCAGTGAAATGGCTGGAGGAGTGCGGGTGGATGAATGTCATTATTGAATTCGGCTTACAATAGGTAGTACGTCCATGACATTATGAACTTGGGGTTGTTCTTACAATACAACTTTGTTTGATGATATGAGGACACATGATAGCGTCTTTCACTAGATTTTTTTTTGTTCAATATGTGCGATGACCGGTGAACAATGTTGCACATTATTCAACAAGACAAGATATGTTAACTAGCTGAAAAAATACTTTTATGAACTTTTTAATAACTATTAGTTTTTAACGATTGAAAAGACCTTAAAAGAAAAAAGCGGTAGTTGTTTGATAAAAAGCTTCTGTTTGATTTAGTTTTGTTTAACATACAAGTTGTTGTGACTAATTAATGCTAAAAGTTACGTAAAAGCTGCTCAATGTAGTTTTCAAAAAGGATCTTTTATTTTGGAAAAAGAGCTTAAAAATTCTTGTATCAAACTTATAACCAGTCTTTTAGAGACTTTGAGTACCAAAATTAGAAATAAGGATTCATGTCTACCACACATACACAATATATGACTCTGACTGTACTTGGTAGGCCACACCACTTATTTGTATTATTGAATTGTTAAGGGCCTATCCT